GCATCGGGCTCCCTGCTCGTCAGGGAGTCTGCTTCTCCCTCTGACCCTCCTCCCTCTCATGCTCTCTGTCTCTCATTCTCTCTCTCGCAAATAAATAAAATCTTAAAAAAAAAAAAAAGGCCTTCTTCACGTGCATCCATTCTCATTTGATCCTTACAAAGCCTTTTAATGGGAAGGACTGGTCTTATTCGTTTTTTACATCTGAAGAATGTTAGGTTTACAGATATGATTTGCTTAATGTGTAACATAGCTAGAAAGTTACACAGTAGAGCAGGGACTGAGTCTTAGCCCAAGACTCTTTTATTTTTTTAAGATTTTATTTATTTATTTATTTGACAGAGAGACAGAGAGCACACAAGCAGAGGAAATGGCAGAGGGAGCAGGGAGCCTGACTTGGGGCCTGATCCCAGGACCCTGGGATCATGACCTGAGCCGAAGGCAGACACTTAACCTTCTGAGCCACCTGGGTGCCCCAGCCCAAGACTTTTGTGATGGAAAACATTAAGTGGGCAAAATTGTGTGGTCCTCCCTCTGTGCAGTGCTTTCATTTCTTGGCTCCAGTGACATCACTATCTTGTTTTCTTTTCCAACTTTTCACTTCTTTCTCAAACTACTCCTATCCCCATCCCAGGAGGCTCTTTCTTCTCTTCCTGAATGTAGTTGTTCCCCAAGGTTCTATCCTTGGGCCATTTTTATTGCTATATTCTCCTTCTATGGTATCTACTCAGTAGCTTCATTTATTCAAATAGCTTCATCATTCCCTCTGGGAAGATGATTTCTAAATCTGTATTCCTGGCCTCTACCTCTTCATTGAGTTTTGGACCTGAAATTTCAGTTGCCTGCTTGGTATGTATACCTGGCAGTTTTAGACAGAATCTTACATTCAATGGGTCTGTTTATCTGGATCCTGATTTTAACCAGTCAACTATAAACAAGGAGACCGTTGAGGAAATTTGAATACTTACCGATGACATTAAGTATTTGATGATTAATTTTTTTTAGGTAAGATAATTGTATGTGGCTATATTAAGAGTATCTTTTAGAAATACATACTGAAGTGTTTATGGATGGTATCATGTATCTGGGATTTATTTCAAAATAATCCAGTTGGGGAAAGGAGGAATAGGTCGGATATTGATGAAACAAGATTGGCCATGAATTGATAATTGTTGAGCTAGGTAATGGGTACATGGGACTTCAGTATCCTATTTCCTCAATTCTTCTCTATGTTTGAAAATTTGTATTATAAGAAATTTCAAGGGGTGCCTGGGTGGCTCAGTCGGTTGAGCGTCTGACTCTTGGTTTCAGCTCATCTCATGATCTCAGGATCCTGCGATCGAGCCCCATGTCAGGGTCCACACTCAGCTCAGAGTCTGTTTGAGATTCTTTCCCTCTCCCTCTCCCTTCCCCTTTGCCCCTCCTCCCACTCTCTCTCTTTCTCAAATAAATAAATAAATCTTTAAAAAAAAATTTAAATATTAACTAGGTCCCAAACCAAATTGATCAACCTTGCCTACGTCCATCTCCTGACAGTCATTTTCCTATTCATGTCCCTTATCTTCCCAGTCACTTACTATGAAAACCCAAAGCTCTCTTGGTCTCCTCCTCCCTGACCTCTGCACCCAATCAGTTGGTAAGTTAGCCTGAAACTCCCCTCACAGTGAATCCTGTTTATTCTTTCCTTTGCATTCAAACTGCTACCATTCTACTAAGTCCTTCATTACTTTTTGCCTAAATTAGTGTCATAGCATTCATAAATTTCTCCTCATTTCCGGTCCCTCCTCCTTTGGTATATGTAAAGCATCTAGCATAGTGCTTGGTACTTAGCCCCTTCTCCCTTTTTCCTGAATTGTGAATTCATCTTCCTTACTGCTGCCTGCTTAACTCTATGATAACATCTCCCTTCCCTGAGGAGACTGCTCCTCTCTCTTCTTTCAGCATTGCCTTTCTCGCTATCCCTCCTGGATCCTGCAACCTCACTGCTGCCCCCACTCCACCCCAGCTGCCATGCTTTGTGGAGGAAGCGTGGTGTCTGAATAAAGACTGATTTCTCAGTTCCAAAGTTAGATACAAGAGCAGGATTTTTCCTAGCTGTAGGTGAGTGGGCCTTTACATACAGACAAAACAGGCATACTAAGTGTGAGTAAAAGAGAAGCAGGTTTTAAAGCTGCCTCCCCCCCCCCCCCCAGCTCAGTGTGGAAGAAAAGGGCAGATGTCCAGTCCAGAGGGATCAGCAGGGTCAGGTAAACGGTGATGGCAAAGAAGGAGCTGGGTGGGTAATATTGCAGCAAGCCAGGGGCTTCTTGAGGAAACACAGCTTGCCTAGTCTGGCCAAGGGAGGAAAAGCATGAACTGCCTCCATTGGATCTCAAAGGGGCAACGTCAGCAGTGTGGATTGGGTGAAGGTCATGTGGCTCAGGCCTGTCTGAGGAAGGTGGCTATAGAACTTTTGCTTTTGGTAGCCTGCCTGGGTGTATAGTTCTGTCTGTTTGGGCGAGCAGCAGCCAGGCATCCAGGGGCTGGGCTGATCAAGCACAAGGGATTTTCATCCTTTAAAAAGAAAATGCTATAAGTCAATCACATTCTTACATTTTAAGCATAACGCTTGCGACTAAAACCAAACTGCCGTATTATAATCAAGATGCATCCGCCTATTTTATATTTAAGGCCCACAGGCTTCAACTAATTTAGGGGACCATCTGGTGAGAAAGAGAGAAAGTCTCATTACAAAGTGGCATTTGTTTGCAGGCTGAGGCCTCAAAGTAGATTGTCTTGGGGACCCCGACAAATGTCCTGTGTGAGTGCCCAGTGCTCCCAAGCCTACCGCTTAGGTAGAAAGAGCACAGCTTTGGATTCAGGTAAGATTGAATTCCTCCTCCCAGCATTCACAGACTGGGTGCCTGGAGCCACAGGACTTCTGAAGTTTGAGTTTCCTCAGTTTCCTCTTATGTAAAATGGGAATCCTCAGTTTCCTCTGATGTAAAATGGGAATCCAATTGTACCTGAAGTTGTTGGGAAGATTAAAGGAGATAAGTGTCAGAGGCAGCCCAGAACTATTGCTTCCTTTCCCATGACCCATAACTTAGTTCTCCATTTTACTCCCTCAGAGCCTTGCTCTTCTTGCCTTCTTTGCTTAATACCCACTTTCTCATGCATAGACATGGCATGCTTTTAAACAGATCTTTTTTCTTTAAAGATTTTTTATTTTTTATTTGACAGAGAGAGAGTACAAGCAGAGGGAGCGGCAGGCGGAGGGAGAGGGAGAAGTGGGCTCCCTGCTGATGTGGGGCTCAATCCCAGGACCCCGGGATCATGACCTGAGCCGAAGGCAGACGCTTCACCGTCTGAGCCACCCAGGCGCCCCAAGTGTAGTATCTGTTCTTATCAGTTTAAACAGATCTTTAAAAAAAAACAGATTTATTTATTAGAGCACGTCCACATGTGTGCACAAGTGGGGGGAGGGGCAGAGGGAGAGAATCTTCAAGCAGACTCCCCTCTGAGCACAGAGCCCAACGGGGGCGGGGGCAGAGGGGGGCTCCATCTCAGGACCCATGAGATCATGCCCTGAGCCGAAACCAAGAGTCGAAAGCTCAACCAGCTGAACCACCTAGGTGCCCCTAAACAGATCTCTGAACAAAAGATATAAAAAATAAATTTTGTTCTAATTCTGTTATTTGTTCACCTCTCCAGAAGGTAAAGAGGTGAAATGGAATTGCCCTGGGATGCACGGGTCAGACAGCAATTTTGCCTCTTCTGCAGCATGCTGAACAAATGTATTCTCAAAGCCTCCCTGTCCTATGTTCCCGTAGTTGAAAGGAGACAGGATTAGATCATTAGATCAGTTAGCTGGGACAAATGCCGGTTGCAGCACAGGGGTGGGAGGAGGGGGAGTTGGGGAGCGGGTTGGTTAGAGATGGGGAATCTGGGAATGGGGATGCTTTTAGATTCTAACTAGATAACCGCTCCTGAGGTGGCAGCTTTATTTCAAGTGAGACTATGAATTTGGCTGTATTCCTAGTGAGAGCCCAATGCTCAAAATTTCCTCTAAATCAAGAAACAAAATTAAAAAGTGATGATGGAGATTGGCAGAATGTAATTGCTGAAGCTGAGTAATGGGTACCTGGAACTTAATTGCATTGTTCTCTATACTTTCATGTATATTTGACAATATCCAAAATTAGACATTTTTTGTTTATGTGGCAACTATGGGACAACAGAGGTGACTCAAGAACTGGGAATTTTGACTGTCATGTCAGAAAAGCTAGTAGAAGATATTTGGACCAAAAGAATTCCTTAGAGGAGATGTGATTTCAATAACACTTACCTAGTTAACTGGATTTATTTGAAGGATTAAATAGCATGCAGATAAAATATTCGGTGGATGTAATATAAATTGACCTCATGAAACTTTTGATAAGGTGTCACAACCACTGTTTTAAAGGCAATTGAGTCACTATAGGACTGTGACCCTCTTTCCTCTGAGTAGATACTGCCTTAGAAATAGGAAACAAAGGTAGAGATAAAGGAGGTTAAGGATATAATTTTGACATTGCAAAAGCATGATTTCTTAGGGGTGGGGGGTAGCTAGTTTTTCAAAAAATATATCTTTACAAAAGATCCAAAGGGAGGCATGCACAGTGAAATCTCCAAGTGGAAGATTATATGAAACTGTTTCTAACAATGAAAAGCTTAGTTGATGGGAATAAACTATAAGGAAATCTCATGGCCACGGTCATGGGCTCATTACTGAATGACCTAAAGACAATTTACATAGGTAATGTACGCAAATGTGTTTGACGCTAGAGTAGTTGCTGCCATTGATTGTGTTACTCAGGAGAACAGGCTTTTCCCCTGCCAGGATCGGCATTTTGGAAGGTATAGGCAGATATTGTGAGGGACACTGGTAATCCATCCTGTTGGGGGCTGGGAGAGAGTGTAAAGCTAAAATCTAATAGGGAAGAACAACAGTCGGTCCTCAGAGGCTTTCCTTCCTCTTCCAGGGAGACGGTTGATCAGCCTGCTGACAGTGGAAAAAATGAGTCCAAAGCCTCCTTGTCGAGAGGTTTTCCTTTCTGTGTGAAGGAAGGAAAATGAAAACAGCACGTTCTCACAGCAGTGGCGGTTGCGGACGTTTCAGGATGACAGCTGGAGAGGCAAGGTATACTCCTGACAGGGCCAGCTACAGAATCTGCAGCACCCAGTGCAAACTGGAAATGTGGGGCCCCTTATTCGTGAATTATTCAAAATTGCAAAATCATGACAGTAGGGTATTAAACAAAACAGGGGCTCCCGTAAGCCTGGAGCCCTGTGTACCACCACAGGTTGCGTGCACATCGAGCCCACTGTGCCCCTGCTGCCCAGGAGTGGTGTGGATAGCCGACGTTCAGAAGGCAGTCGTGGAAAACCAGGAGGCGAAAATCAAGATCATCTAAAATCCCACCACCTGGAAACAACCGTTGTTATCATTTTGCTATATATCCCCAAGATTTTTAAAAAGATCTTATTTATTTATTAGAAAGAGAGAGAGGAGAGAGTGTGCGCACAAGGAGAGGGAGAAGCAGGCTCTCTGCTGAGCAGGGAGCCCCATGCAGGGCTCAATCCCAGGACCCCGGGATCATGACCTGAGCTGAAGGCAGATGCTTTTTTTTTTTTTTTTTTTGAATTGAAGCGTGGATTTTATTTTTATTTTATTTTTTTATTTTAAGATTTTATTTATTTGCGAGAGAGAATGAGAGACAGAGAGCATGAGAGGGAGGAGGGTCAGAGGGAGAAGCAGACTCCCTGCTCAGCAGGGAGCCTGATGTGGGACTCGATCCCGGGACTCCGGGATCATGACCTGAGCCGAAGGCAGTCGCTTAACCAACTGAGCCACCCAGGTGCCCATATTTTTATTTTATTTTTTTAAGATTTTATTTATTTATTTCACAGAGAGAGTGAGAGCAGGAACACAAGCAGGGGGAATGGGAGAGGGAGAAGCAGGCTTCCCGCTGAGCAGGGAGCCTAATGTGGGGCTCGATCCCAGGACCCTGGGATCATGACCTGAGCTGAAGGCAGACGCTTAACGACTGAGCCACCCAGGCGCCCCTCCCCAAGATTTTTCTGTATACATATGTTGATAGATATTCATGCAATTTTTATACGATGGAAATGGGATATGGTACATCATCTTCTGTAGCCTTAAAAAAAAACTTAACTCTATTTTAGAGAGCTTTTCATGTAGTAAATATAGATCATTTCAATCCTGTTGTATAGAGGTTCCATGATCCATTTAACCAAACCCTATTGTTGGGTGTCTGAGGAGTCTTGAGTTTTTCATTATTACAAATGATGCACATTGAATATCAATAAAGCTGAGTGAGAATTGAATAACTTAATCAGTGCAAAGCTCCTTACAAATGTTAGTGTTATTTTTATATTGTTAAATAGCCCTGTATAAAGGTGAACTAATATACATTCCCAACAGTAGGGTGAGGGGGCTTGGTTTCCCTAACTCCTTGCCAGTTGTTTCAATATTTGCCTTTTCATATTTCTTTCTCTGTGAATGGCCTGTTCATGTTCTTTGCCAGTTTTCCTATTGGATTTCTCATGCTTTAAAATTTTTAATTGATTTCTATATTGGGGCTATCAATCCTTTGTAATATGAATAACAGGTACTTTTTTCCCCTAGGTTTTTTTTTTTTTAATGTTTGATTTTGTTTGCTTTAACCTCACAGATATTTTTAAGTTTAGTATGGCTGAATCTTTCCCATCTTTTCCTTTAGGATTTCTGTCTTTGCTGTCCTCCTTTAGGAAGTCTTTTGCCACAGAACGGGTTTAGAATTCAGTGGTGAGGAAGGCTTTCCTGCCATAGATTAGCTCCAGCAGGTTTCCTCTGAGGCTTTATTCTTCCGGGGCGTGGTTTTCCAAATTCTGTCAATGGAATTCACAACACTAGACTACTTTAAACGTATATGGGAGGGGAATACTTTTATTAAGTTTAAACCTACTTGTGAAGACACAAGATGTATTAAAAGTGAGTGTTGTCTATCTTCATCCAACCCAAAAAACACTTTTGCTCCTTTTACATTTTCTGCCTTTGTTTGCTTTCTATGGAGAGTTCTGTTTTTACTGGAGCTATTCTTTTTTTTTTAGAGATTTTTTTTTTAAAGATTTTATTTTTTGACAGAGAGAGAGAACAGTGAGAGAGGGAACACAAGCAGGGGGAGTGGGAGAGGGAGAAGCAGGCTTCCTGCCGAGCAGGGAGCCCGATGTGGGGCTCGATCCCAGGACCCTGGGATCATGACCTGAGCCGAAGGCAGACACTTAACGACTGAGCCACCCAGGTGCCCCTTTTTAAAGATTTTTATTTATTTGAGAGAGAGAGAGAACGAGCAGGGAGGAGGGGCAGAGGGGGAGAGAGAGAGAAGCAGACTCCCTGGGGCTTGATCCCAGGACCTGGAGATCATGACCTGAGCCGAAGGCAAACGTTTAACTGACTGAGCCATCCAGGTGCCCCTTTACTGGAGCTATTCTTTTGGGGATCCAACCAAAGAGAAATTGAGTTACAGATACATTAATTTGGGGTTAGCAGGATATATTTTATGTGGTTTGCTATTACTTCTGCATATAGTTAAGTTATGGGTGGCTGTACCAGTGTAGAAATGACTTGAGGGCCCTCAACACTTTTAAAGCAGTAAATCTAAACCTTATTTAAGAGTAGTCATTACATAAAAAACTTGACATAGTCTAAAATCTTACAGCTTATATATATACAAGAAATGATAGAGATTTGATAGAGGTTTTCCCAAATTTGACAACAACCCAGAATATATACATGACATTAATCAGTGATGGGTTGGGAAACCGAAAGAAACTTTTCTAAACTCTTAGGAAAAAATTGTTTCCTGTTCTCTCTATAGACATTATAGTACAAAAGTGGTATCAGATGAAGAGGTGATCAAAAGATGCAGGCAAAAAATATAGAAAAGGTAGCAAGGAGTTGTACCAGTTAATATAAGGAAAAATACTGTTGCTTTTTAAAAATTTTGTGATGTTTGTACATTTTGTCAGTTTTTAAAACTTGTAGTTTCTTGTCATTTATTGTATCATTTTAAATAGATATTCAGGATTGTACCTAATTTTACACTTTAAAAAAAAACTTACTTAACCCAAATGGTATAAGCTTCGGGCCCCACAAAAGCTGGATCTGCCACTGCCTGTGTACTAAATATTGATGGTCACTGGGAGTGTTTCATGTTACAGATAAGGACACTGGCTTGCCCAAGCCAGCATAGATAGTGGGAGAGCCAGGATCCAACCCTGACTCTGTCTGGCTTCAGGGCTTTTTTCCCCCTCACTTTCCAAAACTGTCTTCTTTCAGATGAAAATGCACAGTAATCAACCCAAATTATAGTAATAATGATAATCTACTGGCCTCTTTAGGGCCATATTTACAGTTGTCACTGAGGGTCCATCGCATTAACCCTAAAGCAGCTGTGCTCTTCCTTTGCTCTTACCAGTCCTGCTTTTCTGGCAACACTACCTTTTTCTGCTTCTTTTGTTGATGTCAAATGTGGTTGTCAGCACCTGGACTGCCATGGTACCTTCTTCTTCAAGAAGGGTAGACCCCAGGGCATATACCTGGATCATTGCCAGTTCTTCCCTCACTTCTCAGCTTGGAGGAGAACAGGGACCTCCAGGTCACAGCCTTTCCACATTCCAGTATGAGATTTTAGCCTGCAGATCTCAGTAGGGCAGGCGAAGGCTGAAATAAGCATTTTGAGGGCCTGTGAAAAAATGTGAGATGGGGCTCGCCTTCTCAAGTTAGAGCTTACTTTGACTCCAAGCAAACTTAGGGAAACCATTTTGCAGGTGTCTTCTCAATCCTAGAGACTGAGCCTGTACTTGACTCCTTCCTCCCCACTCTCTGTACTCACTCTGAACAATAGTTCAGCTCTCCACCATAAAGGAGATGTTTTTCCAGGGTGGCTGGGTGGCTCAGATGGTTAAGCATCTGCCTTCGGCTCAGGTCATGATCTCAGGGTCCTGGGATTGAGCCCCGTGTCAGCCTCCCTGCTCAGCTGGGAGTCTGCTTCTCTCTCCTCACTTCTGCTCTCTCTCTCACTCTCTCTCTCAAATAAATAAAATCTTAAAAAAAAAAAAAAAAAAAAAAAAGAGATGCCCTTTCCTCAAACAATCAGTCCAGGTCTGACTTCAGCTCCAAGGCTCTGCTTTCCAGGACACCAGGTACCTGAAGGTGTTGTCTGTCATTGTCCACTTTGTGCTACAAACTCAGTTTTAAAAACTGGATCCCAAGTCTCACCAGCTGAGAGACCTCACTTGGCAGATGCAGTGGTTATCCTCACCTCTGTGTTTTTATGACATAGCACAGATCTCCAGTCTTCAAAACTGCTGTCAATTTATAAAAAGCCATGGCAGTGGAGGACAACACATGCTAAAACAGATCCCTGAGCCAGGCAGCCGGCCAGTCTCCAAAAGCGCAAGAGGAAGGGTGCATGAGAGCAGTTTGCCTGGGGGAAAACTGCTTTGTTTGCTTTGGGGCATCCCCCTGCAAGGAAAGCTTTATTTTCATATGCAACGTAGTTGTGCCCCATGCACAAGTCTTCCTAACTGCCAGGCCTGGTATTTTTTTTTTTAAAGATTTTATTTATTTATTTGAGAGAGAGAGAATGAGAGACAGAGAGCATGAGAAGGAGGAGGGTCAGAGGGAGAAGCAGGCTCCCCGCCGAGCAGGGAGCCCGATGCGGGACTCGATCCCGGGACTCCAGGATCATGACCTGAGCCGAAGGCAGTCGCTTAACCAACTGAGCCACCCAGGCGCCCCAGGCCTGGTATTTTGACCTGCCTCTCCTCCCTCTTCAATCACGTGTGTTCCGATTCTGATCTGATCACCCTGAGCTAACTCACTGAGGTGTTCTGCAATCTTTGAACAGTCCTTCAGCCAGCTCCTGTGGTATCTGCTGAATCCCCTTCATGTTTTAAAATTTCGGGGCCTGACCAGTCAGTGATATTCCAGAGTCTGCCCAGCCCCTGTTGTGACTTTATACATCCATCATATTTTATTGAGGTCTAGCAGGCCTGGCATTTGTCAGGGGACAGTTTTAGGCTATTTCCCAGGTGATCCAGTAATATAAGGAGCCATTGTTCGCCAAAGCTCCGCCAAACATAATTATGCCATCTAAACAAATAAGCACCTCTAGTTCATTCATATCACCAAATGCTTTTTCCATCAAACTCTTGAAGGTGTCTCTGGCTCCAAAGATGTGTGGAGCAGCCTTTCAAATAGGTAAAACCTAACAGAGCAGATGCAAGCTGTCTTGTTTGGCCCAGTCAGACGTAGGGATTCAGTAATAGCACTTCTCAAACATAGTGCTGGAAATCACTGATTCCCTACCATGCAGGCTAGAGGTTAATCTGGACACAGAAAACTCTGTAAGGTGGAGAAAAATAATAGAACATCAATACCCCTGTCCCGTCCCCCATCTCCTTGCTGTCTTGAGTCTGCTCTCTTCTATCATGAACTTTCCTTCTTCCCCTTTCCATATTTGTTTATCCAGCTAAATAGTAGTTCTTAACCCTGACTGCCTATTATAATCTATGGAGTTTGTTATAAAACATGTATCCTTGGACCCCACCCTCCCCTAGAGATCCTGACATTTTCTTTTAAGATTTTATTTATTTGAGAGAGAAAGCGAAAATGAGAGAGAGCACACAATCAGGGGGGAGGGGCAGAGGAGGGAGGGAGAAGCAAACTCCCTGCTGAGGAAGGAGCCCAATATGGGACTCCATCCCAGGACCCTGGCATCATGACTTGAGCCGAAGGCAGACGCTTAACCGACTGAGCCACCCAGGCGCCCAAGATCCTAACATTTTCTAAATACCTATTCTATGCTAGGCCCTATGTCCTGCCCTAGGAGTAGAGGCAATTTATTTGTTTGTTTGTTTAGTAAATTCTGCCCCCAACATGGGGCTTAGGAGTAGAGGCAATTTAGTCATGGTCCCTGCCGCCACATAGTTCATGGTCAAGGGGCAGAGACAAATACATTAAAAAGTATAATTCACAGAATAAATATGGTATAACTGCATGTTTTTTTCTTACTCTCGCTTGTTTCTCATAAAACTGTGCCAGTATTAGTAAGGTAAACATAGATTAGTTCAACAATTTCTAGTATATAGGAGGAGGCGGCTTTCTTGGGTTCTTGGGTGACAAGTTAAGAATTTAAAAAAATAGTAAAATGTGAATGTCCATAGAAAAAATTTTTAAGTAATAAAAATTTATTGAGAATTCCTGAGATGATGGTTATCACCTCCCCACCTGGAGGGAGGAACCAACACTGTAGGAAATCACTTAGAAATCACACTGTCCCAACACCTCTGGCCAACACAGGCAGGAGCAAAATCATTCCCCCCAAAACTGGTCAGGCTTTGTTCATTCAAGAAGGCTTGGGAGGACAGATGCAGGAGGGACCATCACATGATGCTGGGGGTGGGATGGGGGTGTGCTTGGACCCCGAGCTGGCTCTTCAAAAACCAGAGGAGAAACAGATCCACTTCTTCTCTGGGAGTGGAGTTCCTGGTCACCAGGCTCATTTCTTCCCTTTGATGAGGCTGTCACTGCCCCGGGCAAAACTTTCATCCTGTAGGTTCAGGACAAGGTTGTCAGCAGTGAGATAGATAAGATTCTGTGATGTGGCAATCATCGTGGAGATTTTCTGAGCTGTCTGGATCTTGCACAGTTTGATATAGCCAGGGTTCTTGCTCAGGGCTTCTCCAAGGTGAGCAGGTTAGGGTTAAGGGTTCACACAAGGCCTGGTCACAAACCCTGGCCCCATCCTTACTACTCCAGCCCTTCTCTAGGCTGTCAGATCAGATAGCTCATACCTAGTCCCACTTGGGTCCCTTCCTGTCCATAGAAATTTTATTTGTAATAGCCAAAAACTGGAAATAGCCCAGATGTCCTTCAATGAATGAATGGTTACACAAACTGGTATATCCATACCTTGGAATACTACTTAGCAAGAAAAAGGAACAAACTCTTGACACCTGTGACAACCTGGATGAATCTCTAGATAGTTATTCTGAGTGAAAAAGGCTAATCTCAAAAGGTTACATTTTGTGTGATTCCACTTACATAACATTTTTGAAATGACAGAATTATAGTGATGGAAGGATGTTCAGTGGTTGCTAAGGGTTGAAGAATTGGAGAGGGAGGTAGGTAAGTGTGGCTATGAAAGTGCAACATGGGGGAGCCTGGGTGGCTCAATGGGTTAAGCATCTGATTCTTGATTTCAGCTTAGGTCATGATCTCAGGGTCGTGGGATCGAGCCCCACATTGGACTCCACGCTCAGCGCAGGGTTTGCTTGTCCCACTCCGTCTGCTCCTACCCCACTCATGCGCGCGCTCTCTCTCTCTCGCTCTAAAATAAATAAAATCTTAAAAAAAAAGTGCAACATGAGGGATCCTTGTTGTGATGAAAATGTTCTAGATCTTGATTTGTGGTGGTGGTTATGCAAGCCTATACATCTGATAGAATTATATAGAGCTAAACACCCACCCACACACAACACCCAGACAAAATGAGTTCATGTATAACTGGTGAAATCTGAATAAGCACTGAGGATTGTACCAATGTCAATTTCTTGGTTTTGATATTGCACTATAGTTGTATAAGATGCTAACATTGGGGGCTACTGAAGAAACAGTGCATGGGACTTCCCTATACATTTCTTGCAACCTTTGTTGAATGTATAATTATTTCAAAAAAATAATAGGACAAGTTACTAACCAGAAGCCAAAAGGTTTAAAAAGGTTAAACACATTTACAAATGCAAAACTATAAATGGCTACATTAGGAGAAGCTGGGAATATAGTTACTCTTTGATGTTATGAGGAAGACAAGTAGTCCTTCTCAGGGAATATTACATTTTAAAAATAGAAAGTTTCATTGTTTTGTTCCCAATTAAAAAAGAATGTTTCTTGTGGAAAATTTAGAACAGGTAGCTCAAAAAAGGTCATTAATAATCCTATCATTTTGAGATAAACATTTTTTTCAACATTTAAGGTAAATCTTTTCAGTCTTTTTCTATGCATAAAATTAAAACAAAAATTTTCACAATCAACAATAGATTTTTCCTGTCTTTAAAGAGTCTTGCATTAATAGGACTTTAATGTACATACAATATTCTATCATATGGATAAAGAATGAATTATTTACCTAGCCCTCTATTTTGGATATTTAGATTGTTTCAGTATTATAAATAATGCTGCAATACACATCATTGCACTTGCATCTTTGTATGTATCTCTGATTACTTCCTTAGTATAAATTCTTAGGAGTAAAATTACAGGTCAAAGATTATGTGACTTTTTAAAGCTTTTTCTACGTTTGGCTAAAAAGCCTGCCAGAAAGGTTGTATGAATGTTCCATCTTGGTTTTTTCTTTTCTTTTTTTTTTAAAGACTTTATTTATTTATTTGAGAGAGAGAGAGAGAGAGAGAGGCGCGTGCACATGCACGCACACACACACACACACACGCAAGCAGGGGGAGGGGCAGAGGGAGAAGCAGACTCCCCTGCTGAGCAAGGAGCCTGCCATGGGACTTGATCCCAGGACCCTGAGATCATGACCTGAGCCAGAGGCAGACGCTTAACCAACTGAGCCACCCAGGTGCCCCATCTCTGTTTTTTCCGGAGTGTGTTCTTTGTTGATAATGTTAGCAACTGGGGAGTAGGCTGGATAAATCTACTGTGGCAATTTTTCTTTTTTTATAAAGTATTTTTTAAAAGATTTTATTTATTGGAAAGAGAGTGCATGTGCACCAAGTGTGTGAGCAGGGGGAGGGGCAGAGGGAGAGAGAGAGGGAGAGAAGTAGACTCTGTGCAGTGCATGGAGTCTGACGCGGGGTTCAATCTCACGACCCTGAGATCACCACCTGAGCCGAAATCAAGAGTTGGACGCTTAACTGACTGAGCCACCCAGGCACCCCAGTGGCAGTTTTTCTGTTCCTTAATACAGTGCTATAGGCTCTAGCCCAGTGCTGGGTTCACACTAGGCCCCTAAGAAATTTGCTGATTTAATATTCATCATAATACATTCCTTGAAACTCTTATGTGGGGCATGTGGGAAACAAAATCATCAAAATATTAGTGTGCCTGAACCCTGAATTATATCACTGACATCTAGTAAAGAGTATGGCCTTGAGGGAATAGACAGGTACATTTTGTTTTTTGTTTTTTCTTCAAGATTTTATTTATTCATTTGACAGAGAGACAGCGAGAAGAGGGAACACAAGCAGGGGGAGTGGGAAAGGGAGAAGCAGGCTTCCCACAGAGCAGGGAGCCCAATGTGGGGCTTGATCCCAGGACGCTGGGATCATGACCTGAGCCGAAGGCAGACGCTTAACAACTGAGCCACCCAGGTGCCCTAGAGAGGTACATTTTGACTGGGAGGAAGGACTTGGGAGAGGCTTTTTTTTTTTTTTTTTAAAGATTTTATTTATTTATTTGAGACAGAGAGAATGAAAGAGAGAGAGCACATGAGAGGGAGGAGGGTCAGAGGGAGAAGCAGGCTCCCTGCCAAGCAGGGAGCCCGATGTGGGACTCGATCCCGGGACTTCAGGATCAGGACCTGAGCCGAAAGCAGTCGCTTAACCAACTGAGCCACCCAGGCGCCCTGGGAGAGGCTTTAGAGTGGAAAGTGTGAAGATAAAGGAAACCTTATTTAAAATGGAGTCAGCGGGTGCCTGGGTGGCTCAGTCGGTTAAGCTTTCCACTCTTGATTTCAGCTCAGGTCCTGATCTCAGGGTTGTGAGATTAAACCCTGCGTCGGGCTCTGTGCTCAGTGGGGAGTCTCCTTGAGATTCTCTCCCTCTCCCTCTGCCCCTACCACCATGCGTGCTCACTCTCGCTCTCAAATAAATAAAAAAATAAATCTTTTAAAAAAATTTAAAAATTGAGTCAGGAAGCCCTGAAGGGGGAGCTCTCACGTGTTACCACTTGCTTGTGAGAAGCGTATTTCACATTGCCCAAGAGGAAGCAGCTTACCTTATAATGCCCCAGCAGGAGGAAGAATTTCTCCTGGCCCAGCAACAATCCAGCCAGTAAGAACTCAGCAAAACAGCCCCTCCCAGCTTCTTCCTTTCCCCTCCTAAAAGGAAGCCCCTCTCCTCTGTTTTCGGGACTTGCCTGTGGTTCACTGTAGTTTTCCTGTCTTGAGTTGCAGTTCCTCTCCATTACCTAATGAAGTTATTTTGCTGGTAAAATAACTGGCTCTTTTGCTTTTTAAGGTCACCATGTACTGTTGGGACCCAAAGGAGATGAACCCCTGAGGAACTAATGACCCCCAGAACCGTGTGAAGTACCCACAGTTAGTGCCTTGTGCTCTCTGCTTCTGTGAGTCATCTTCTTGCTTTTAGTTCGGTAAGTCTCCTGTCGGATCTGAGCTCCCTCCTTCTGGTTGAGCTCTCCGACTTTATTTGGGATCTGATTAATTTTTTTTTTTTTTGTGAAAGTGTTGTCCTTCCTGGTGAGTACTCTTCTGTTTCCTGAACCTCTGGTTTTGAGTAATGGGTTCTCAATCTGCTAAATTCTCTCAGGAGGGTCCTCCTTCTGGGACCCCAGCCAGTTTTATGTTTAAAAACTATGGTTCCTCCTCATGTGCATTTTTAATTGGACCAACTTAACAAAAAATAACTTAGGACTCCAATGGCTGTTATGGGGAACTTTTGGTCTTCTCAAACTTGCTTTTCTTAGAACGAAATGAAAAGCTCTAAAATAAAATGAACTGAATGGGATACCTATTTCAATTAATATCTTGAAGCTTCCAAGAGTATCCAAGATTCTAAAATCATCTCTTTACAAAATACTATTTTAAATTAACCAAGGTGAACAAACAATTGAAAGAATGCAAAAAACCCTTTTCAGGCCTTTTTCTTCCTCCCCTGTCCTCTTTGTCTTTGTCCCCACATCTTTTATACCCTCTGCTTCCTCATTCTGGTTCTCTCAGTGGACTTCCCTTTTTTTCTGAACCTCTCCCCTCTCCCTTCTCTGAACCCATTAGAACCTGCCCCTTTAAAGTTAGACTCTTAGAGGATCCTGATGCTAAGCTCCTAATTTCCCATGTCCCCTGGACTACGGCTGAACTATGAGTCATAGTCAAAGATTTTCCTGGAGTTATTGAAGATCCTCATAGATTTGCCCAGGATTTTAACAGTCGTTCAGACCTGCCAACCAGGTTCCTCAGATTTGTATCAGCTAGTTGACATGCTTATTGAAGGCCAGGCCCAGCACTGGTTGAAAACAGCTAATTGGGATGATCCTGAAAAATCTTTAGAACTTTATTTTTTTTAAGATTTTATTTATTTGTCAGAGAGAGAGTGTGAGCGCACAAGCAGGGGAGCAGCAGGCAAAGGGAGAAGCAGGCTTCCCGCTGAACAAGGAGCCTGATGCGGGACTCGATCCCAGGACCCTGGGATCATGACCTGAGCCGAAGGCAGACGCTTAACTGACTAAGCCACCCAGGCGTTCCATCTTTAGAACTTTAAATGAGAGACCAACCCCATGCCTTTTTATATGATCAGGCTGGGCAGTTGCCAAACAACTTCACCTCGCAGTCCCTAGGGCTTTCCCAAGACCTGTTGATTGGAACAAGACTGAAGCTTGCACTCAGAAACCCAGTGAACCTGTACATGACTATTACTCTGAATTGTTTTTAAGGAAAATTCTGGCCTCCCTCTGGATGTTAAATCCACTCAGGTACTCTTCAATTCTGTGTTCATTAAAGGGCTGAACCGGGATTTTTCCCTTGTAGTTAAAAGGACTAGGATGGAATGGGAAACTATCCACTTCAGATTCAGTTAATTTAGCAAAGTGGTCTACCCACATCCCAGAGAATTCAGCTACAAGGAAGACCACTAAAATCTTTAATTTTCAACTCCAACAAGTGGAGGCCCCTAAAACAAAACCAGCCCCCTCCTGGTCTCTGCCATTATTGCAAAAACCATTATGGAAGAAAGATTGTTCCAAACGCGAGCATTCTAGGTGCCTTCAGCCCTCCAACCAGCCTTTCCAGTGCCCTCTGAACTCCCAACTACAGGACTCCGAAGAACTACAGGGGCTTTTCCCAGTCCTTCCTCTTTACCAGCTTGGAGAAAAAACTCTCCAGATTGGGGATGAATCTCTTTGTGTCCTTATCGACACTGGAGCTACACTTTCAGTGCATGACCCTACTGTTATTAAACAGCCCCTGCTCAAAGTACTGAAATGGTTCAAGTAGTGGGGGTCTCTAATAAACCTCAACAGGTTCCTACTTTAAACCAATTCCTTCTTGTTTCCTTTAAGAGATACCCATTCTTTTCTTCTTAGTTCCTCTGCCCCTATTCATTTTTTGGGCTGAGGTTTCTTAGAAAAATAACATTGGAATTTTTTTTCTCCTGAAAGGGGGAGATAATTCTAGAATTTGATAGCAACAACCAAAATTGCCAACTAGGTGAATCAGATGACCTTCAACATCTTTTATTTGTTCCATCAGATTTTTCGCTGTGATTGATTTCTCTGTGGATAAGGTCAGTCAATTACCTCTTTGCCTTTTGGGGAAGAAAAGCAGTGTACCTGGACAGTAATGCTCCAGAGTTTTGCTGAAAGTCCTTCCTACTTCTCCCAAAACTTAAAAGTGGATTTAGAAGATAGAAAGTTACCTGGAAGTTCTGCTTTATTAATACTTAGGCGACTTGCTTCTCTGATCCCCTTCTCAGGTGTCTTTGCAGGGACAGCATCCAGCCATTAAGCCTGTTAGCTTTAAAGGGACACAGAGTTTCCACGGAGAGACTGCAGTTTGCTCAGACTCTGGTTTGATATTTGCGGCACCTGAGTTCAGAACAAAGGCTACACTTAGATCCAAATAGGCTTCATGGCATCCTGAACTTCCCCCAACTAAGCCAATTATAAGGTTTTCTTAGGCTAGCTGGCTACTGTGCAAAACTGGATTCCAAACTCTTTGGCTGTAATCTTAACCCTGCCACCATTCTTCCTTCTCTGTGGACAATACTCTTCATGACTGTCTGACTCCCCATGATGGCTTATAGAAAACTCCTTTGGATAAAGCAGACTTTTTGGTGGTTTATCAGTAGTTCTTATTTAAAAGGCGAAAATGGTAAATATTATGTTGGGTATGCTATTACAATTGTTTTTGAAGTCATTAAGGCAGCACCTTTGCCCTCAGCTATTGTGGCCCAACAGGCTGTTCTTGCTTGGACCCACGTTTTAGCCAAGGGCAAAACTGCAAATATCTATACTGATGGTAGGTGGGCCTTTGGAGTAGCTCATGACTTCGGAATGCTATAGAAACAGTGAGGCTTCCTCACTTCTAGTGGGGACAAAATTAAAAATGGCCTTTATGTTCAGGAATTACTAGATGCCATACTCTTGCCAGATGCTTTGGCCAGTATCAAGGTCCCTGTGCATTCCAAACTGGATTCCTTGGAGGCCAAAGGAAACCACCTAGTTGATATTTCCACAATGAATGCTGTTCTCAAAGGAACCAACAGCCAAGCCTCTGTCATGGTCCAAAGGGATGTTCCCCTCCCCAAATGATAATCTAGAAAAAATGATAGTGATGCCCAACAATCAGCCACAGAAAAGGAAAAACAATATTGAAAACCTAATGACTGTTGGTTTGATTAAAAAAAAGAAAACTCTGGGCTGGGCCAAATAATAATCCAGTGCTGCCAGAGACTCTAAAATTCCCATTACTGACTACTGTACATGTATCCAGTCATTAGTCTGCTGATAAAATGAAAACCTTTGAGCCAATACTGGTGGGTAAATGTAAATAAGACCACAGAGTGCCTACTTTGCTTGCCCCACCTGCCTTTAAATATAATTCGGGAAAACCTGTCTGCACTGCTCCTGGACACTTTAAGTTGCCCAGAGGATCAAAGTTTGGCAGATGGATTTTATTCACCTTCCTCCATCTCAGGCATATAAATATGTCTTGGTAATGGTTTGTATGTTTTCTCACTGGACTGCTATTTTTGTGGCTAAAATCCTACTGGAAAAGATCATGCCTACCTGGGGAATCCCCCTCAAACTTCATAGTGACCCGGGAACTTGCTTCAGCAAGTTTGTGCTGTTTGGCTATTGTTACAACACTTCCACTGTGCTTACTACCCTTAATCCTCAGGGCAAGTCAAACACACTAATGGCATTGTCAAACAAAATTTGTAGAGGCCCTTCAAATACTCCGGCCAAAAGCACTGCCATTAGTTTTCCTACATCTTAGATCTACCTCTTTGGAACCTATAAACTCTCACCCTTTGAGATAATCACAGGATGACCAATGTACTTGGCTTCTGCTTCTTTCTGATCCACAAATGGTAAAAAGAGATATGCTTAAATATTGCAAAGGCCTAATTGCTTCTGTTGACAATAACCATGCTTTAGTAGAACAATCTTTCCACAGTGTGTTCCTGGGAGATAAAGATCTTAAGCATCATACCTTGCAGTCCAGAGATTTCATCTATTGGAAAAGACATCTACAGAAAGACTCTCTTCAGCCCTGTTGGAAAGGCCCCTATCAGGTACTGTTAACTAACCCTTGTGCAGCCAAACTTCAAGGAATGACTCTTGGATCCATATGTCACATCTTTTTTTTTTTAAGATTTAATTTTTTAATCTCTCCACCCAGCGTGGGGCTCGAACTCACAACCCCAAGATCAAGAGTTGCACACTCCTCCGACTGAGCCAGCCAGGTATTCCCCCCATGTGTCACCTCTACAGAAAGCACCAAACCCTGATTAGATCTGCACACCAACTGAGTACCTGGAAATAAAGATTTCTAGGAATTGAAGCAGACGACAGCTGAAGGAGACAGATTTCCCAAGATGACTGGACCAGACCTGTATACCTTTTTCTTGCTGTTACTTCTTACCTTATTTCATCCCTTTCTTTCATGGTCTAATCTATTGCAAAAGGGGAACCTTTCTGACCGTTGGATCTGACACCAGAAACAGATTTGTTCTTCCCTATTTATTATTTGTTCCCCTGCATCCAAGGGAAATACAAATGAGCTAAATCCTCTTTGAAAGGCTTTTTTAAAAAAAATATTTTTATTTATTTGAGAGAGAGTGTGTGCAAAAGTGAGCGAGCAGGGAGGGGCAGAGGGGGAGGGAAAAAGAATCTGAAGCAGACTCCACACTGAGTGTGGAGCCCGACTTGGGGCTCGATCCCATGACAGCAAGATCATGACCTGAGCCAAAACCAAGAGTCTGACACTCAACTGACTGAGCCACACAGGTGCCCCTGCAAGGCTTTTAGAAAAGACCCCTTTAGCCTTGCAGAAGTTCTGCTCATCTTATTCTGTATGGTCACTTTTTAAAAGATTGTATTTTTAAGTAATCTCTACACCCAATATGGGGTTCGAACTTACAATGCTGAGATCAGGAGTTGCAAGCTCTACTGACTGAGCCAGCCAGGTACCTCCTCTGTATAATTATTTTTTTTAAGTAGGCTCCATGCCTAGCATGGAGCCCAAGACGGGGCTTGAACTCATGACCCTGAGATCAAGACCTGAGCTGAGAGCAAGAGTCGGACGCTTAACTGACTGAGCCACCCAGGTGCCCCTTTATAATCATTTTTAAGCTTTATACCTGTTGCCTCTCAAACCTTCATAGAAACAACGTGCCTGATAGGGTGATGCTAGCTCAGCACCTCGAGATGATCTTCAACATTTATCTCAGATGGGAAATGCCTGACCGTTCTCCCTCCTACCATTCCCTGTTACTCAAATGTGACCTCAGCGGTTTCCAGTCTACGCACTTTCCTCTGATGTGGGACATGACAACCAGGAAAGGTCCTTTCTGACACCAAGGGCACGAAACCACTAAATATGAAAACAACAACAACAACAACAACCCAACACAACCCTGACTTTTGATTAGCAATTCTTTTGAAAAAAGACTTTGATCGAAAGGGGGAGATGTGAAAATAAAGGGAACCTCATTTAAAATGGGGTCAGGAAGCCCTGAAGGGGGAGCTCTCGTGCATTACCACCTGCTGTAAGAAGCATATCTCACAATTCCCAGTAGGAAGCAGCTTGCTTTCCCCACCCCAGCCTGAGGAAGGAAGAATTTCTCCTTGCCCAGCAACAGCCCAGCCAGTGAGAACTCAATGAAACAGCCCCTCCCAGCTTCCTCTTCTCCCCAGTGAAAGCAAGCCCCTCTGTTCTCTGGGTTTACCTGTGGTTTGCCATAGTCTACTTGTCCTGAATTGCAATTCCTCTGCTCTTCCTGAATAAAATCATTTTGCTGGTAAAATAACTGGCTCTTTTGTTTTTTAAGGTCAACAGAAGCAGAAACCACCTGAGGTTTCTGGGAACAGACTGACAGGGTCTGAAAAATGAGGTTTGCTGGGAAGGGAGGTGGTGTCTGGGGCATTAAGGGTAATTGTTGGGGTGGGAGAGAGCAAAACTCTTGCCAGTTTACCCTGTTCCCACTACCCCACTCCTTTAAGCACTCAGGATGTTAATTCGCCTGGTGGTCTTTATGTAAAACATTAGTGTGCAAACTTCTCCCAGCAGAAATCTGGGCATAATTATACTGAATTGTGCTTTTATTTTTTATGGGGGGGGGTACGAGTTTCATCTAAGTTTCCCCCTTTGTGTCCTCCATGCAGTATTACTAGTCAAGTGGGACCAGTGGCCAGAGGTCTGCGCTTCCGCTTCCCCTCATTGCTGCTCCTTCCACCCTGTGCCTGAAATGTAAGTAGGGTGGGTAACACCCACACAGGCCCCAGGGCTCTCTAGGAGGAGCCCATCATGGTTTTAGAAAAGAACAGGCATGGCTGCCTTGATATAATTATCAGATGTGATTGATTAAATAATAAAAATATGTGAACATTCAAATTATACCAGACTCTTCTTGGGTGACTTTATGTCATCTCATTTAATCTTTCTAACAACCTGGTAAGATAGAGCCTTATTATCCCCATTTTACAGTTGAGGACATAGACTTAATTAACTTACCTGGGCTTGTATGTTGCAGATCTTGGATTTGAAATTGGATTTGAAATCTCATCCATCTGATTCCAGACAGCTGCTCCTAACCACTGTCTGATTTAAAGCACACAGGGCGATGTGCTCTTCCTGAATCCATTTCCTTCATTGCACGTCTTATTTTCTTAGATTCTACCCTTTGAGATTCAATCCTTTGGATCATGAAGGCTTTTCCTACCCTAAGATCCCTTTTTTCAAGGTATCTATCCAAAGGAGCAGCAATGGCTTAAGCACATTAGATAACATTTGAGTGGAGGAAAATTGGTTATTAGCTAAGTTCCCCAAACAAAGGACACGGACAGTTGTTTCCTCGAGGTAATCAGTTTTGGCAAATCAGGGACACAAAGGTCCAAAGAAGAATAGACAAGATCAAGTATGAATGTTGTATCGGTATCCTCAGACATTTGCTACTGCTTAGGAAGCCAACCCTTTGGGGCCTACTCCACTGTTTTTGCATTCCAGATGACTTACTATCACATAAGGTAAAGAGTACATTTTCTCAGAGACCCCCGGCTTCACCTTTTGAAGCCTTCCTTGCCTACTTCAAAGTTCCCTTTATTTCTCAAGATTACAGGAAGATTCAGTCAGGTTCATATATCCATGCTGTCACAGGTCCTTTGATATTCTGCTTTCGGTGTACATTTTAATAGGTACTTGTTCAGATTCATCAACAATCTGTATGATGTAACAGTATGTTATCGAGTGCATATTATATTCCAGACTGTGTACTAAGCACTTTCCATGCATGATCTCATGAAAGCCTCATGAGTCTGAGAACAAACTCTATCCCAGAAAGGCCAACTTGTTTGAAGTCACAAAGATAGTAGCAGAATGAGGGTTTAGGCTGAGTCTGACTTCAGAGTCTCATAACCATGCCTGGTGGTAGCTATAGTTAGAAAATAATAATTGAGCTAAATAGAGAAACGGGCTCAGATAAAAGGTGGTAGGGTATTTACTGACCAACAACGTGGTCTGTGCTAACATTTTACTGGTTCCTGTAGGGATAATGATCAATGAAATGGCACATTTATAATAATTAAATAATAATAAATAACAATTATTGTTAGTATTTTATTACTTGTAGCAGTAGCTAACACCTCCCTTATTCAATGAACAAATATTGAGTGCTTCCTATATGTGAAAGATTAGGCAAGATTCTGGGGATACAAAAGTAAGCAAAAAGTACATGTTTCTTACTTTCTTATGCTTTTTAGTTTAGTAGCAGAAACAGATATTAAACAATCGCTCTGATGACTATGTAATTACAAAGATAAAAGATCAGAAGAGAAAGAACATGGTTCTCAGTGGGCAAATAAGAAAAGAATGTGAAATAGATGGTGGGTTGGGATCAGGAAAGGCTTCTCTGAAGAGAAGTAAAGGTGTATGGGTGAGTTGGAATGAAGTAGGTGAGGGGTGGGTGGGAGTTGAGCTGAAAGGCACATCTCAGGGAGAGGAACGGCATTAGCATATGTCTTAGGGATTTGGTCTCTATGCTAAGAACACTTAAGTCACTGGAAGGTTTTAAACAAAGGCCTGCTGCGAGCCAATTTACATTTTAGTAAGATCACAGGAGTTGCTGCAGGGATAATGGATGGGAGGGGAGCGAAAGTGGAGGTTGGGACCAGTTAGCAATAGTCCAGGTTAGAGATGATGACTTAGACCAGGGTCGTGGCAGTGGAGATGGAAATGTATTTGGGAGGTGACGGATTTCTTGGAGGTGGTGCTGATAGGACTTGGTGATAGATTCAATAAGGAGGTGTGGGATGGGGGAGGGCGGTGATGCCCTTTAATCTTCACAGCTACCCTATGAGCGAGGTGTTACTATCCCTTTTACGAAGAAGGAAACAACTTCTCATGGCCTTTAGCATAAACACCATAGGCTTCCTAGGACCCTCGGGACATTCTCTCAGCCAGGCTCTATTGACTTACATATCCTGGTCTCTGCCATTATCCCCCTAGTTCTCTGTGCTCTAGCTACAGTTGCCTTTTAATTTTTTTATTTTATTTTTATTTATTTTTATTTATTTGACAGAGAGACATAGAGAGAAGGAACACAAGCAGAGGGAGAGGGAGAAGCAGGCTTCCCGCAGAGCAGGGAGCCCGATGTGGGGCTCGATCCCAGGACCCTGCGATCATGACCTGAGCCGAAGGCAGACGCTTAACGACTGAGCCACCTAGGCGCCCCTACAGTTGCCTTTTAGTTATTTGCTCTGCCAAGCTCTTCTTAGTCTTAAAGCCTTTTCATATGCTGTTCACTTGACCCGAAATGTTTTTTTTCCTTTTCTTTGCCTGGCTCAGCTTTCCTTGGGGAAACCTCTGACCTATCAGACTGGGTTATGCCTTTAGGTTATCTGCTCTCCTAACACTCTGTACTTTTGCACTGATTACACTTGTATCTAGTTTTTTGTGTGATTATTTTTGGACAGTCCCTCCTACAAAACTGTAAGCTCCGGAGAAGAGATCTTGTCTGTCTTGTTTATCTCCCTATTGCCAATGACTAGCATAGCAATTTATCTCCCTATTGCCAATAACTTAACATAGAGTAAGGTGTTACATACATGTTTGTTGAATGAATGACTGAAGCTTATACAGTCTAAGCTAACTTGCCTACTGTTAAACAGTAAGTGACTGGTCCAAGACTTGGACTCAAGTCTACCCAACAGGAGAGCCCAAGCCCTAACCGCTATGTAAGACTGTCCCTGTTCATGTTTGCAACTGAAATGTCAAAGCCATTACAGCAGTTGCTAAAGAAGTAATAATCCATTTTCTTTTTCCTCCTCTGCCCTCCTTTCTTCTTCCTTCATTCCTTCCTCTTTCCCTCCCTTCTTACCTTCCCACCTCCCTCCCTCCCTGCCTGCTTGCTTGCCTCCCAGTGTTTTTCTTTTATAAGATTTGGAAAGACTGTAAGAAGTCATCTTGTCCAAACGGCGCATTTTACAAATGATGAAACTGGAGCTAGACCAAACTGCCTGCCCAAAGGCCATAGTTATTGGCAGGCTCAATAGATATCTTTATTTTTTATGGTGGGCATCATTCTAGCAAAATCAATGGAGATCTAATTTATTTCAATCTTGTTTACCCAATATCCGTTTGTTATAACCAGGTTAGTCTCATCACTGACGTGGGCACATGTTTTGCTCATTTTTACTTCAGTAGCATGATCCACACTGGTCCCTTTGTTTGGGACTTAGTTTTTCTTTCTAACCTATTTATTCATCCTTCAAGCCCCAGCTCCGTTCTTACCCCTCCATGCAGACTTTCTGACTCACTGTAGTCAACAATAGTCTATATTACTCATTTGGCCTCTAATCATACAGTAATGTGTATTTTCTTTTAAATGTTCTTAGGTGTGTTTTTTCTTCTTTGCAGACTGCCCTCACCCCAAGCTTCTCAAGGGCAGGAACCATATCACATTGTTTGCCTCTTTTATAATCCTTTTGATCCCTAGAAAAGTACTCTACACATAGGAGACACTCAAAGAATAATTCTTGAATGAATGAATGAATGAATGATGTAAGCAAGAAAAAATGAAATGGTAAACTCTGCCATCTTGTGGCTATCAGTCTTCAGTGTTGCCATTTTCACTGTTTTTCGTGTTGAAATTAGAAAAATGGCACATGGTAATAAAGGTGATGGTGGTGAGGTGGGAAAGGTTTCTTTTCCTTTTGCTCAATGTACCAACAGCATGGTTACTGAAATATAAGAGAAAACAGAGGGAAACTAAAAACCAAACTAACCATGTACTTAAGGACTGAGGAATATTGATCACATTTCCTCAGGTACAATTCCTGCTTTGAAAGGGACAAGTAAAAGAAATTGTCTCAACATGTCCAAAAGAGCTCTGATCAGATGACCAACCTACTCATTGAGGGGAATCTATTAATAGACCTTTTGTGAGCATTATCTGGTGAAGAGAATCTCTGCCTTTGAGTTACTGGCCCTAAGATCCGGTCTTCGTTATGCTGAACAACCTTGGGCGGATCAAACAACCTCTCTTGTCTCAGTTTTCTTACCTGTTAATTTACTGCCCAGTTTACTTCCAGGGCTGTTGTAAGACTCTGTGAAACCACAGGCACGAAAATTCTTAGAAACGTTTTTAAAATGTGATACATACGTTTAACATTTTCATAAAAGAAAAAGAATGTTTTTACTTCCCATTTGTACAGCACCTAAATGTTCCCAAAGGGCCTGTAAGGCCATCGCCTATTTTTAGTCTCATGGCAACTCTAGGAGATAGGCAGGCAGGTATTATTACCCTCAATTTACAGATGAAGCTTGGAGATTCATATTCAGAGTTAATGAACCTACATTGAGGACCTGCTACATGTCAGGCCGACTGATAGATACTTGCACATGTTAGAGAAGTTAAGTTAGTTGCCCAAGATCACCTGACTGCTAAGTGGTCGTGTCTGTAATCTGATCCAGGTCATTTGGCTTTGGAAGCCCGTGCTCAAATGCCACTATATTTAGGTCAGTCAAATTCCTCTCCTGGGGCCATTGCATTTCTCTCTCTTTTGTAGAACGAAATATTTTGTTACCTGTAAAAAATATTTAAGATCTGAAAAGCAGACCTGGGTGCAGGTTACAAGCCTGTACTCTGCTTAAGGCAGTGGTTCTTAGCCCTCGTTGTACATTAACATCACTTGGGGAATTAAAAAAAAAAAAAATTACCCATATCCTGGGCCCAGAACAGAGTAATTAAATCGGCCTTTGGGGGTGGAGCCCAGGAAAAAGGTTTTTTGTTTTTGTTTTTTTTTTCTTTTTTAAAGCTAATTCCAAGGTGTAGCCAGGATTGAGAACCACACTGCTCTAGCAGAAAGGTCAGCAACCCAACATTCTGACAGTCGATCCAACTTTATCAGAGATTGGTCCTGGCAAACATTAAGAGCATTCAATGAGGAAGAGGGAAGAGGAGTAAAGAAACACCTTAGCAATGTAATTTGTTGGGTCTGCTTTTAGTAGCGCAAGCGAACTGAACAGCAGTGACAGAGGTAAATAATTAGAGCTAAAGAAGAACCGGGAAAGAAAAGGACATGGATCTCACTTTGAGGTGAGAGGGATGGCAGACACTTCCTTCTCCAAAAGAGCAGACATTATAACCCCCTTTTCACCCATCCATCCATCCATTCATTCATTCACTCATAAAATACTCACTCATAAAGTATTTACTGAGCATCTGCGGTGTGTGAGGCACTCTTCCAGGTATTGGAGATACAGCAGTGAACAAGCCAGATACAGACTTCAGTCTCACGGAACTTTCATTCTAGTTGTGGGTATAGGGGAATGGTTCTGCCATGGTGTTCTTGTGACCTTGAACATCTCCCCAAGAGGCCACATAGCCAAGGCTCAACCACGCTCTGACTCAAGTCTTGGAGGAATGCCCTGTAATCCTCTCTGGAATATGGCAAGATGAGCAATTGCAAGGAGCTGTTACAAAAGACCATTTCTTTTTAACGGGAGGCTGCCACGAGGCAGTTTCTCATCTGCCTCCCTGGTTCTGGTGAGGCATAGGGCTTTCCACCATCATGCACACAACCCCCTTCAGTGTAGGGGCAGCATAAATGGTGTGGCTATAGTTTAGAGTTGGCTCCTCTACAATAGTGTCCCACTGTTATGTCATCTGTCATCCGGCCCCTCCAAGTCAATGTCATCCTGTGGGACTGGGGACATAGGAGTGCTGACACCATGATGATCTTACTTTGCTGCCTATGTAAGTAATAAGCTGTCCGTATGCATTTGGACTCATTGTCTTCTTGTTGGCTGAATCTATGGAAGTGTGCAGTAAGCCAGCCTAGCAGCTGCCAGTACCCTGCTCTTTAGGGACTGCCTGACCGCTTGATAGTAGTTCCAGACTGTATAATTTGATTGGAAAAACTTAGCAATTGGCAGAACCTTCACGTTGGCTGTTTGGCCAGTAGAGTAAGAGCTAATGTAGTAGGAAAGGCCAAATAGAAGCCTCAGAAACTCCTCACTCCCACCTACCAACATAATAAGTAAATAAAAGTTAAAAACCGTATTGCATCCCAGGGAGACTTGCAGAATTTAGTGCTCTCAGAGACTTATGCAGTGCATTCCCCCATCAGATACCTATGAAATTCACTAGTGTGGCCCCCCCCAAAAGAAAAACCGATGAATCATGGCAGGTGACAATATGAAGTACCACAAATTTTACTAAGTAGTACCAACTGCTCTGTCAGGTGTGATATCTTCGTTCGAGCAGATTAACACAGCCATGTGTATGTGGCTGTTGATCTACCAAATGTGTTATTTTCCATACCCATCAGAAGGCAGATCAGAAAGTTTATGTTCACAGGGTAGGGCCGTCAGTGCATGTGGTGAATGCTGTAATGTGCCACCCAGATCGCCTTTCAGCAAGGAGGACATTATTCCTCCAGCTGCTGGGAGCACATCTAGATGGCCTTCAGGTGTCAGCCCTCTTTATGGGATGCCTCAGCTAAAGAAAACTGCTTCACCTAAGATCATGCCTCCTTCCAAGGGAAGCCCACATCCAATGACTAATAAGTTCAGGGGTATAAAGGCCCAGCCCTTTTAACCCAGTTTGGGGCAACCAGATATTCTAGTTCTAGAGCCTACCATGGAGTTGGCTGAGGCCTTCGTTGGAACTGTATCATGGCTTCATTTCTCCCTCTGCCCAGTGCTTTTCCTCTACCTCTTTTCCACAAGTTTTGATCCCAAAGGCACTCCCTAATAAACATCCTGTGCACCAGTCTCCATCTCGAGGTCTGTTTCGTGGGGAAGCCAGACCCTGTGACATTTGGTGCCAGGAGCGTGTGTGGTGATGGGACTTTGGACCTGGCCCACTCATTACCTGGCTGCCATTGAGAACCCCATACTGGTGGTAGGTGGAGCATGGATATTCCCTGACACAAGGCAGCAGTGCAGTTAAAACTTTCATTGGTGGGAGGGAATAAATTGGCTACTGGGATACATCAAACATTTGAGAAATATGGGGAGAATAGTAATCTTTAAGAGAATGGGATTTGGTGGCTATTCCTAAGTTTGATGGGCACTCTGGAAAAAGATAACAAAAAGCTGAAAGTGATTATCTGGCAATTTAAAGTTCAGTGGGTAAGTCACAGAACCTTCCTGGTAGCATCTACAGAGGCTTACCTCCTGCAGCAGGATGATAAAGAAAGTGGATGACTGGGCCCAGGACTTGAATCGTAAGAGTAGTCAGTCTCCAAGGGCGGTTAAAATCCCAACTAAGGCAGGTCTGCTATGCCAAGGTCAGGACTCTGGCTGGGAAGGAATGGGACTCTGACATGAGAGAGGGACTTCTAGGCCTAAAAAACCTTGAATTCCCCTCTGAGAAGTGGCCCATTCCTCCCTATTAAGAGCTAGCACACCCTGTTTGTTTGCACACAGTACAGAGGCCTCTCCCTTGCAAGGCAACATTTGCGTATCCCCTGTCCTACTCCTCTCAGACAGTAGGCCAATAACTAGGGTTAAATCACAGTGTCACCCAATGGGGGATGTGCTCGGCCTGCAAAGAGAGGAAAGGGACAATACCCTGATAAAACCGCAGCATCTAGTAAAAATGTCGCAGCAGGAGCTGAGACAGTAGGTATGGGCAAGAATTTTCCTTAATCAAGGGAAGTAGAACACAAATTTGGATAAAAGGTCATTTGTAAATATAGGAGTAGTCTCCCGGGATACAGGATTTAACAGCCTTGCAGAGAATCTGAAAGATGGTGCAGACATGCTGCTAGGATGGATCATAGCATGGAAAACAGGTTGGCTAAGTTGGGTTGAAATTACCTGAATTTTCATGACAGACAATGGATTAGAAGGCTTAGGGTGGAGTCTGCTGAGTGGATCTGTTATGTGAGGCCAGAAGATGTATTGGAGGATCATTTTGCACAGAGGTGCTCAGGGAACACACTGTTCACCAAGGCTGTGAGGTTTGTGCTGGTAGGAGAGGCACCAGCATGACAAAGAAGTTCATGTGCAGGCCACATGCAGGTCAGAGTGGACAGTAGGTGAAGCAGTCACAGAGCTGAGCTCATCACTAGCAATGGGGAAACTGAAGGAACAGAGGCCAGGTGGCTATGGTCAACTGCCAGACGCTGGGTGGATGCAAGAATCATAATCAGGAGCTAGGTCAGAGTGGCAGCCAAGGGGGCCTGATCTAGAGGGAGTTATGAACGTTAATAGGATATAGCATCCCTAGGGGTGAGATAGATGGGCAGATGACAGGGACGCTGCTCAGTCTGCAAAATCAAAAGCAATCAAAGTTTGATCAGGAGGCTGAAGGTAGTTGCTCCAGTTCCAAGTCATGGCCTCTTGCTGAGTTGTCGGACATAAGCCAGTTTTCAGTCTTGGAACCCATGGACTAAATGGGGTCCAAGTCCCTCAGGAGGGAGGACCCTGCAGTAGCACTGTGAGTATGTGTAGTCATGATTTCTTCAGTCCTTGCCCAGAAGGACTCATGGCCATTTACTTGGGTAACTGTGCACTGGAGAAAGGAACTCAAACATTTTGAGAACCATCTGACTGATGGACATGGGGGTACAAAAGGTTATTTCCTCAAGTTGGTGGGGGGAAGGTAATACTCCATAGTGCAGTTCATACTCCAGAGGATCTTCATGGGATCAGACTGAGGCTAGTCTCCAGCTAAGACCAAATTCTTGCCTACCTTTTCTCCCTGGCCCTATGCTGCCTGACTTAACTCCCTTCTCCTGGGAGCACCTCCCCAGTAAATCATGTGCACAGGAATCATTGTTTCAGGCTTCATTCTGGCAAACCCAACCTGAGACAAACTGTGTCTGTTCATACATGAAACATTCATAACAGTGCACAGTATGATTGTGTCCTGGTACATTTAACCATTCTCCAAGTGGTGGACATTTGGGATTTATCTAGTCTTTTTCTATTACAAACAATGCTTCAGTGAATGTCCTTGCATCTGACTCTTTATGTCCCATATGTCCTCAAACCTTTTTATATAATTTGCCATCAGATAAATTCATCTGGGATTCCAGGTAGTCCCAAGAGGGCTATGAATATTAGTTTTGTGGGCTGTGGCTATATCCAAGGAAACTAATTACCTGAGGTAAATCATGAAAGAGTCCGTGACTTCTGGGGCTACACAGAGGTATTTGTGAAAGGGTCACAAATTAGGGAAATGGAAAGGATGAAGGATGGTTGGAGAAATAAGTTGAGATAGAATAGTCCCGATAAGCTTTGAGGAAGTGGTTAAAGTAGCATTTAGGAGTCTTTTCACTAGAGGGAAATTCGAATTTGAGGTGAGGTAGGATTAAATGGCAAACCCAGGTTCGAATGTTCTGGTTAATTAGGAGACTGACGAGATAAGGCAAGGGACTAAAGTGAGGATCTTGAAGTACAGTATTGGAAATTACAGTCAAAATGGCTAAAGTCAACAGGTGTATCTAGGAATGAACTAGTAATGAATATCAATGCCTAAGAATCATTTTTCTTGAACTCATTGCTTGTAGTGCTTTTCTGAAAGAACACCGTGATCCTTCCCAAGCTTATTTTCTTTGTTTTGATCATCATTCCCCCCTCACTTCCTGTCTTCATTGCCAAGATCCAGGAGGCAAAGATAGGCAAGAGAGCAGGTCATGGACTATAAGTGGACAAGCTGTGTGACTCAAGAGGCCAAACAAAGGTTGGGGCATGGCAACCTTGCTTTGGCTATGCTCCTATACAAACGGGGCACCCGGCCTATTTTTTGTTAAATGTATCCATTAATATGACAAGGTGCATTTTGTGATTGTTCCATTCCATGTGTTCCAATGGCATACTGCTTTTTAAAAATTTTTTTTATTATGTTCAATTAGCAGACATATAGTACATCATTAGTTTTTGATGTAGTGTTCAATGATTCATTAGTTGTGTATAACACCCAGTGCTCATCGCCACCCATTATACCACTGTTTTCATTCTGACTTGCATTATAGTTAAACTATTTACTATTCTGAGCTCACAGAGTGGTGGCTTATGGGACACCTCTGGCCCATACATATGCTTCATTAAGCTAACACATGTTCACATTTAAAGAAAAATAGTTGCCAGTATTTCAAAAATAGGAGGGTTCATACAAAAATATGGATTCCTGACTTCTGAAAAAACAGAATCTGGCATACAGGGCCTCCATTTCCTCATGACAATGGGAACTGAGCAGTGGCTACTCTTATTTTTTTTTTTAAGATTTTATTTATTTATTTGTCAGAGAGAGAGCATGCACAAACAGGGGAAGGGGCAGGCAGAGCAGGCAGAGGGAGAAGCAGGCTCCCTGCTAGGCAGGGAGCCCGATGCGGGACTCGATCCCAGGACCCCAGGATCACAACCTGAGCCAA